CTGCTTTCCCTTTCGCCTCCCTGCATTGTGCCTACATATGCAAATTAACCGCCATCTTGTTGACAGTTAACTGCCAATCTTAGTTGGCAGTTAATTTGCATATAGCCCTGATTAGCCAATGAAAAGGGTAGCGTCATACGCCAATTACCATTTTTCTCTTTTATTAGTGTAGATATCTTCTCAGGTAGTGTTTCTAAGTTTATGCTGTGGGTAAAGGAATTGTGCATCTGTTATCAATTATCCATTGGTAATTATATCACTTTTTATATGTACACTTTCCTTTCAATTCGTTTTTAAATATAAGGGAAATCTCAAAAGTTTTACATCACTTTATTTAAAGGTGATAGATTTTAAAGAATGTGGTAGCTCAGGCCAGTGGCTCAGTTAGTTGAATGTTGTCCCATGCACCAAAAGGTCCCTGTTCAGAGCATATGCCCAGGGTTGTGGACTTGAATCCCAGTGGGGGGCCTGCAGGAGGCAGCTGATTGATATTTCTCTCCTCTCTTAACCTCTCTCTAAAATCAATAATAACATTTAAAAAATAGTAAAATTTCACTGTTATTGACCACTTTCTAAATTATGAATAAACTATTTTAAAGCTATTAGTTTACATAAACTGAAATTGATTATCTCTCATTATAATCACGTTTTAAGTAAAAGGTAGAAAAAAAAAGTAAGTGTTGAGTTATTTTCCATTATCAGGAAGTAGAAATTTTGTTTTCTCTACTACCAAGGTACATTCCTCTAATTGATATTCCACTTAGCTAGCAATTAGAAATTAATTTTAAATTTAGCAAAACATTAGAAAACATTTCCAATTATTATCAAAGCTCTAGTTATTCAAAATGTGTTGGCCATATCTTTTTTTTAAGACTTTAGTTTCCTACAACTTTGTTTTTACTAGAATCCAAACTGAAGCCTTACCTTTTGAAAGGAGATTGCTTAAGTTACTTTCATAGAGCTAGGAAGAAACATCTCATTAAACTAAAACTACTGAGAACTGGTAAATAAATGGTTAGTATTTGATAAACTGGAGAAAACAGGCCATTTATCCAATATTAGTGGCCCGGTGCACGAAATTTTGTGCACGGGGGGCGGGGGGGATTTCCTCAGCCCAGCCTGTGCCCTCTTGCAGTCCAGAACCCCTTAGGAGATGTCCGACTGCCAGCTTAAGACATCCCTCTCTGTTGTTCGGTTGATTTGCATATTAGGGTTTTATTATATAGGATTCTCAGCATCTGTAGGTGATAGTAATAGCACTACAGACAGCTTTCTCTTCTTATTTAGCCTGAGCTGTTTCTTTGATAGGCAGATATGACTAATGGAACACATTTTAAAGTAATTTAAACTTGTTATTTTGGCCAAGCACTAATTTAGGGAATAGAAAAAAATCATGATTTTAAAAAATTGACAAGATATCTAATCAAAGCCTTCACGCCCCAATAGGTTTGGGTCTGTTCCGGCCCGAGAGGTAACAATTGGCAGACATTTGTTCCACATTAATTTAGTAATAGAGGTTGGTGACTTCTTTTTTTTAGGAATCTGTACAGGTTACAGAATCAGTTAAAACTGAATTGACGAAGAACTGTGGCTCAGGGACCCATTTCAGTCCATTCTATTTCTTTGAGAAATTCCATGAGTTATCAGCCTTTTTCAAAAGTAAATATGTTGCAGCAACCAGAGTCTATTTAGCTCGCAAAGCTTAAAATATATATTTGTTCTTTTACCTTTTGTTGGTTGACCCCTGAATTATACTTTACGTATAGATAAATTAGGAACTTGATATGTAACTGTTGTGCAAAATGCAGCATTTGTGAAGGTGAAATAAGAATATTCAAAATAAATTATGAATAATTTTGCAAACACTTTATTATGAAAAATGAACTTAAAAAGTTTCTACCTGGTCTGCTTTTCCACTCCCACATCCACATAACTTACTGAGCCTAGGTTTTAGTGCCAACATTCAAAATTAAAACCTTGAAACTGATTACCTCCATATTTAGCCCAGCTCTCATACTCTTCCCTCATGGGGAATTTATTCACTTCCATGTATTACGTGTCCTTAGCTGTAGGTTTTCTTTTACAATGAGTATCTTTTTTAAATTTTTTTATTTTATTGATTTTTTACAGAGAGGAATGGAGAGGGATAGAGAGCTAGAAACATCGATGAGAGAGAAACATCGATCAGCTGCCTCCTGCACACTCCCCACTGGGGATGTGCCTGCAACCAAGGCACATGCCTTTGACTGGAATCAAACCCGGGAAAGGCACATGCCTTTGACTGGAATCAAACCCGGGACCCTTCAGTTCGCAGGCCGACGTCCTATCCACTGAGCCAAACCAGCTAGCTACAGTAGAGTATCTTATATCACAGTTTAGGCATTTAGTAAGTGTTTGGTTAAAATTACTAATAAATAGATACTCTAATAACTCTAAATTTAAAAATATTTTAAAAAATCATTTAATCAATTATATAGATTATTCTGGCTGAACTTCTGATCCCTTTTATTAAGCTTTTTAGAGTTTTATATTACTGTGTTTCTTGTCAGTATGAATCACTGAGTAATTTTATTTTCAGCTAATAATTTAGTGATTGGTTGGTTATACTGTGTGTGTGTGTGTGTGTGTGTGTGTGTGTGTATTTGTATCAACTTCATTGACTGGTAAAGTTTACTTAATTCATTGAAGAATTTTTTCATTGAAAACCATTGTTGGTGATTTTGAACTTTTCCTCAAGAAGCTCTTATTTTTGTCTTTAAATATAACAGTCAGTATTTCCACTGTTAATTTCTATAAAGATGGCACTACTGTGGTTGTTCCAAAGATGCTCTTCATTTCTTTTACACTAATTCTGTGAATATTGTTGGAATATATTTTCAAATACAGTTAATAATTAACCTATGTATAGTTAATGAATATGTTCAACTAAACTAGTAAATAGTAACATGTGTATTTCCAGTTTTGAATACAGTAAAATGTACTTCATATCAAGTGAATGAAGTCATTTTTTTTAAAATAGTATGAATTGAGAGTTGTTTTTTTAAGTGCAATCTTTACTGGAAGTAGTAATATTATGTCATAATTATTAATTTAAATACAGCCTTTATTTGAAACTTAATAGTAACAATAAAGCATCTCAGTTTTTAATGATTGGCCTTTACAAAAAATAATTTAAAGTGAATTCCAGGCAGTATGATGTTTGCTTCCCATTTATATTGATGTACTTTCTTGAGTGAAAAAGCAGTGTTTTAGAATAGTCCCAAGAGACTAATGGCAAAAAAAGGGGGGGGGAAGGGGTTTACATACTTTGCTCTGAGAAACTTAGAATATCTATAAAAATGAAGTGAATAATCAGCCTTCGAAATTTGACCCTTGCAAAGGGAATACTAGTTCTTCTGACTGGATATTAGCTTAATTTTTTTCACTTTGTTTATTCTACAAATTCGAAAGGTCTGTTCGAGGCTTTAAAAATCACACCTATATCAAATTGTGAAAATCTGTTGTCAGGCCTGTTTGGGGCATAAGAAACACATATTCAAAAAAAATCCTTAAATATTTTATTTTTCACATTGTGTAATAACAAATTTGAGTTTTTAAAAATAGAATGTGCTACCTTGGTTTTTGGCAAATCACTGAATGATTAGTTAATATTCAAAATAAAAGTTGGTGTAATTGCAGTAATTTTGGGGGGAAATTGCAGGAACTCAATTTGTAAATGAAAATTCTGATCAGGAAGGTTATGTTTATTGTGTAAAATTTGGAAAATCTAATAAAAAGAAAAGAGGCACCTGTTATCCTATCATTAAGAAATCGTAGAAAGGATTTGGTTTGCTTTCTTTTTAAAATGAGTGAGGCAAAACAAAAACAAATTTGGATCATGCTATATGTATAATCATGAATCTTTGCTTCTCAGAGTGTATTTCTCTAATTTTTTTCTTAATAAAATTTCAAAATTTAACTGCTGAACTGGATTCTGTAATACAGATAGGCTATAATTTCTCTATTATTGGCATAGTTTTCAGGCTTTTTAAATTCTTGGTTATACATGTTTGTATACATCAGTTGCTTAAAATAAAGCTGGCTATAAATGATGAATTTGTGTGGGCAAAATTTAGAAATCAATCTTTTGTAGAAAGTACAATATTTTTAAGTGGTGGTAGAGGACCAGATTCTTTAAACAAAAATAATTATCTTCCACCCCTAGCTCTGTAACAAAAAATTTGGAATTTTATAAACATTTTAAAGTAAAAATACTCATCAGCAAATTTTTCTGTTGATAAAATTAGGCTTGAAACTTTAATTTTGCTTATTTGGAGCCGGTGGATTTGTTTTCATTTACTTAAATTTATTTGATTTTCATCTTTCAGATCCGCCCCCCTTCAGAGGAACTTTGCTCTTGATTATGATCTTTTGTTTTCCAGAGTAACAGCTATCCACCAATGTCAGATCCATACATGCCTAGTTACTATGCTCCATCCATTGGATTTCCATATTCTCTTGGGGAAGCAGCATGGTCCACAGCTGGAGACCAACCTATGCCATATCTGACAACTTATGGACAAATGAGTAATGGAGAACATCATTATATACCAGATGGTGTGTTTAGTCAACCTGGGGCATTAGGAAATACCCCTCCATTTCTTGGTCAGCATGGATTTAACTTTTTTCCTGGTAATGCTGATTTCTCTACGTGGGGGACAAGTGGATCTCAGGGACAATCAACGCAAAGTTCTGCTTATAGTAGCAGTTATGGCTATCCACCTAGTTCTCTTGGGAGAGCTATTACTGATGGACAGGCTGGATTTGGCAATGATACTTTGAGTAAGGTGCCTGGCATTAGCAGTATTGAGCAAGGCATGACGGGACTGAAAATTGGTGGTGACCTGACAGCTGCAGTGACAAAAACTGTAGGTACAGCCTTGAGCAGCAGTGGTATGACTAGCATTGCAACCAATAGTATGCCCCCAGTTAGCAGTGCAGCACCTAAACCAACCTCCTGGGCCGCCATTGCCAGAAAGCCTGCCAAACCTCAACCGAAACTTAAACCCAAGGGCAATGTAGGAATTGGAGGTTCTGCTGTGCCACCACCTCCTATAAAACACAACATGAATATTGGAACTTGGGATGAAAAGGGGTCCGTGGTAAAGGCACCACCAACCCAACCAGTTCTGCCTCCTCAAACTATAATTCAGCAGCCTCAGCCATTAATTCAACCACCACCATTGGTGCAAAGCCAACTGCCTCAACAGCAGCCTCAGCCACCACAACCACAGCAGCAACAAGGACCTCAGCCACAGGCTCAGCCTCACCAAGTGCAGCCCCAACAGCAACAACTGCAGAACCGTTGGGTAGCTCCTCGGAATAGGGGAGGTGGCTTCAACCAGAACAATGGAGCGGGCGGTGAAAACTTTGGTTTAGGTGTTGTTCCTGTCAGTGCTTCACCTTCTAGTGTAGAAGTGCATCCAGTGCTGGAAAAGCTAAAGGCCATAAACAACTATAATCCCAAAGACTTTGACTGGAACCTGAAAAATGGACGTGTGTTTATAATTATATTCGCTTAGAAAATAATGACAACAAACCAGTTACCAATTCAAGGGACACTCAAGAGGTACCCCTAGAAAAAGCTAAGCAAGTGCTTAAAATAATTGCTACCTTCAAGCATACCACCTCAATCTTTGATGACTTTGCACATTATGAAAAGCGTCAAGAAGAGGAGGAAGCCATGCGTAGGGTAAGAGTACAGTAATTTTTGTGTGTAGGGTCTTTTTATTGGGGTACTGTGCATGGATGGGTATTTAATGCCTTTTAATATTACATTCTGAGTTTAAGAACTTTACTCTGAAGGAAAACAATCACTTAGTTTAAGAAACAACTTTATAAAGATCCTTGACCTGTGATGCCATATTTGAAACATTTCTCCTTTCCAAGGGTAATCCTTACTCTCTGAATTTGCTTTTTGCCTATTCTGCATACTCCTCAGGTGATAAAGGTTATTGAGTCGTGTTTATCAAAGCTCAGTGAATTCTGCATTTATAATTAATCAGGCTTGAGAACTAGCAAGGGACTCTAATCTTAAACATTATTTTTATGGGAATAACATGTCTGGAGTTTGAACCAAATCGTTTTTAAATAAATGTTTGAACATTTTGTATTTATGAGAAATAAAATATTTTTCCCTAAAACTCCTGAAACTTTTTTATAATTATGTAGTTAGAGCACTTGTACAAAATGTAGACGAATTGGACTTTAGGAAGGCAGCTAAGAGTTGGGAAGACATGGGGCTTTAGATGTAGATTGCAGAATTTTATTTCTTCAGTTATTTACCTTTGTTGAGACTCTAAAGGAGATTTCTCAAGAAGTTACTCATTGTTCATGTTGCATCATATTGGCCAGATTTGATCACAGGGCACATAGCAAGATAGGCTGGGGAATGTTTTCTGTTTTAGGCTACAAAAGAAAATTGGTGTGGGGGAGGGTGCTAATTTTAGGAGAAAAGGGGGATGGATGGAGTAAGAAACTAACAGATTTTTCCATAGACAGTACATTTAAAGTTATTTTCAAATAAGGGATAAAGTTAGAAGCTTTTCCAATAAATTATGATTGCTATGGAAAGCTTGCATGTAGAAATTGAGATAAAACAGGAACTAAAGTTGATTCCTCTCTGTGTATAAACGTAAGCATCTAGTGGCTACTTGATATTTGCAAAAGAGGGAACTATTTCAGTTAACATTTCTTACTGGTGAAGCATGTGAAATGATCCTAGAGCAGTAGTTCCCATACATTTTAGGACACATACTTATCAATTAGGGTGCTTCTTGAAAATGCAGACTATTGAGACCACCCCAGGCAATCTGATATATTTGATAAGGGACCTGGTAGAGTATATTTTTAATCAAGCACCTCGATAATTTTGCTGCTAGTGATTCTTGAACAGAATTGTTAGAAACTTTGCTTCGGAATAGTACAAATGGCTATTTAATATTTAAGGCCCTGCTTAACCGTTTGTAACTGCCCTTACAAATAATGGATCAGGAGAAATGATTTGGGGTATGAAAGACGAGATGCAAGTGAAGATTTTGTTTTAGGATGTGCTGATTTTAAGGTGCTTTTGAGAAATATAGATAATGAAATCTCTTTGATTAGACAGTTAGGTGTGGGAGTCGCAGATGGGGACTTTCTTGTTCTTAAACAGATAATTCCACGGAAGTGGGATGAGATTACTCCGGGAGAAAGATGCAAGGCAGGGAAATAGTTATCAACTGTTCTTTCTACTGCTAAGGAGAGGCCACCCTGTTATGTCTTTCCACAATTCTTCTCTACCCAGTCTGAAATTTTAATTCTAGGGTGTTTTTTAATTATTATATAACTATCTCAGGAATTATGACCATTACATACTGTTTTGTAGTTATACATTCAACAGTTACTTGAACTTTAAAATTTTACATTTAAATTGTTTTATTGTTTACAGCCAGTCTTTTTATGTCTCACTCACCTTTGACGTATTTGCTTTGGATTTTATTTAGCTTATTGTATTATTTTTTAGGAAGAGTAGCTGATAATATTTTTATTAAGCCCTACTAAATGCAAGAAAATGCCTTACTTTGACCATAATAGGTGAACAACAGTTTCCTGGCTATAGAATATTTGAGTCACAGTCTTTTCTTTCAGGCTTAATTTTATAGCTTTATATTTCTATTACATATAAAAGATGTCTGAGGCCAGCCTAAATTTCCTTTCTTTGGAAATAACTATTTCTGTGTGCATAAAAGATTTTTTTTTTATTCTTGCAATATGGACCTCTATGTAGAATGTGTTCAATATGGGTCTCTTATTATAATTTTTCTTAATTCTTTGTCCAAAGGCCAGGTTTTCATTTTCTTTTTTCTAAAAATGTGAAAGAATGTTGAATCTTTGAACATTCTTTCAGTGCCATTGGTTCTTACCATTTTTTTTTCCTGCATTTGGAGAATTTCTCAAATTTGAATTTTCATGACATTGATGTGATTTGCTTTGTGTTGATTTTGTGACTTTTGAGGTTCTGCATTCTTCAGTGACATGTTTGCTTATGTTATCACATCTAGCTCCCATTTATTTCAGCTGATTGATTGCTTACCTGAATTTTTTGATGCCTAGTTGCTTTAATTTTTTGGGTCACAAAGATGACTGTTCACAGCCTATCTTTGCTTCCTATAATGATTATTTTTAGGAACTTCTTCCTCTTCCATATCTTTTTTAACTTGTTTCTTTT